TGCCTGTGGGTCCTCTGGCTCGGGGTCGGCGGTCTCCGCCGGGTCCCCCCCTGATTCCTCGGTGCCGGTCCTCGGCGTCGCCTCCGGCTCCTTGTCTGTCGCCTCTGGGCCCCCCTGCTTCGGCGGGGCGTCGGACGGCGCCTTCGCCGGCTCCGGCTACGCCGTTGCCTGCCGCGGCTTCCCCCTCCTGCCTGCCTTCGCCGCTTTTCCCTTCTGCTCCCTCCGTGTCCCCTCCGTCTCTCCCTCGTCCCATTCCCTTGGCCCCTGTGTGGTCCCCTCCTGCTCCCTCCTCCCTCTTGCCTGCGGCCCCTCCGGCCGCTGCCCGTCGCCCGCCTGGGCTCCCCTTTGTTCCCCTTCCGTTCCTGTCTGGTCTCCGCTGTCTGCTCCTCCTCCTTTCGTCCCGCCTGTGTTTGCTCCTCGTCCCTCTGTTCACTCCTGGCCCCTTCGTGTCGCCTGTGGGTGTTCCCTCCATGTTGCCCTTTTCTGTCTGCCTGTCTGCGTTCCCCGTCCTTTGTCAGGTCTTGTTGTTTTTCTGGTCCCTGTTCCTGTTCTGTGTCTCCGTCCTGCCGCTGCTCTGCCCGCGGCACCGCCTGCTGCCACCTCTCTGCCCGCGGCACCGCCTGCTGCCACCTCTCTGCCCGCAGCACCGCCTGCTGCTGCTGCCGCCGCTCTGCCCGCTGCTTCCTCGGTCCTGGTTTTCCTCAATAAATCCCCGTTTTTACCCAATTTCCTGGCTCCTCTCCCCTGCTTCCCTGCTTGCCTTCTTGCGATTGTGACAGCCGTAGTGGGCCAGAGGCAGGGCCATGCAGAGACTTTTTGAGGGGCAATTTGGAAACCCAAATTAACTCCATTCATGCATTTTCTGTAACTGCTTGCCGTAGGAGGTCCGGAGTCTACCTCTGAGGCTATGGGTGCAAGGCAGGGAACAGCCCAGGGTGCGGTGCCAACCAATTGTAGGGCTCACTTACACAGACACACTGTTGGCAAATTAGCAATTCCAATTATCCTCAGCATGTTTTTGGACTTGGTTTGTGTGTGTGTGGGGGTGCACCTGGGGGAAACTCCACAATGATATGGGGAGATCCCAGAGGCATGAGGCAACAGTGCTAACGAATCAGCCACCATGCCACCCCCCCCATTTAATTATGTACAGACTTACATAATAAACTGTAGCAGGCATTGGCAGTGACAGGGCAGTGATAAGTGTTTCTGAATGGAGATCAGCTGCTCTAAAGGTAGGTGTATCTGATATTTACTGACCCTGGGAACAAATATGAGAAAAAGTATGAAGTTTTTTTTTTTTATTGGTTATTGTTTTTTTTTATTGGCTACATTATTATTTTAATGTTTAAAGGTTATGGTTATTTGTGGTTGTCAGTATAAAACTTGATGAAATGATTTCAGTTTTTCTATCAGTACTTTTTAACATTTTCATCGCATTTTAACAACACCAAAAAAAAAACTGATAACCGTGATAATTTTGGTCACGATAATTGTGTTATTAAGTTTTCATAACGTTTCATCTGTACTTGACAGTAACTGGTAAAAAAAAATACAAAATTTTAGTTATTTCACATAGGCACTTTTTTATGTTGATTCAGCAAACTACCTTTTATATTTACAGTTTCTCCTGACAGTATCCTTTATTGTTTAAAAAAAAAAAATCAATGCTGAGTATATTATGTTCACGTTCAACATCAGTTCATTTGGTGATTTCATAAATCACATGACTGCCATATGAAATAGCTCAGTGACAAGCTTTGGTATTTCTAACAGCTAAGCCCACCCAAACATATTCAGCCCACTGTTTTATGTCACAATGAGGGCCATTTAAGACACTCTGGAGAAGCTTCCAAAGGAATAGATCTAGGGAAATTCCCCCTATAATTCCAAAAGAGGTGGGATGAGCTAAAAACATAGAGACATACTTCCTGTGGGTTGGTGGAGAGGAAGCAGCTCTTCTCTGTGTTCAAAAGCTTCTGGATTCCCAGCATGACCTTCTGCTGACGAGTCTTCCGGAAGAGCTTCTCCTTGTCACAGAGACCCAAGCTCAGGCGAAGATCCTTCATGGAACTAAGGAGGCCAGGAAAATGGCATTGGGGGCTTCAGTAAACCATTATTACACTGAGGGCTGGAGTAAGCTTAGGAGACCCTCCATCCAGGAAACATGTATGCAGTGTCAGTGCCAAAAAAATCTGATGGCCAGGCCCAAAATTTTGATGGGGGGTGGTATTTGGGTGTGTTTTTTTTAAGAATCAGAATTCACTTTATTGGCCAGGTACATCTGTGTCATGGTTCCTCCCCTGATGTGTCTGTCCCAGAGTCCTGCATGGGTCCACGGAGACCTGCACCCGCACAGTACAGCACCACACCTGCCCATGCACCCGTGATTATTTCAAAGTTAAATCCGTACCCGCCCGGGCCTGTTAACATTCCGCCCGTTACCCGCCCGTACCCCTGATAAATTACACACAATTACTTTTTCTATGCACCTCTTAACCGTGACTAGCGGAAACAAAAAAGTCCGTTTAACACAAAATCAAATCCGATAGATCTAAGCTATCCATACTGTGACGAGCGTGAAAGAGAGAACACGACGACACGCTTCAGCAAGGATTCAGACATGCATGTGATTGTTTGTCGAGGCGGTTATCTAACGGTGCGTTCGTTTTTCTCTCGGAACTCGGAAATTCCGAGTTGAGTGACATCATGTCCGACAATCTCCCGTTCAAGCTACCACATCTGGGAACAAACATGGCTGCCTCCATGAACACGCTGCTGTGTGTTGTTGCTTTATATTTTTGCAGATTTGGAGTGAGATTATTTTTTCCGAGAGACAAACAAACAAGAAACACGAACTAGTCAGACCACATTAAAAGCTTTATAAAATATTTTAGCACATTCATAGCAATATTCTTTTTTTCGAGAGGCAAACAAACTACAAACAAATCAAAGACACTAACAACTATGGTAAAAATCTGATATTGCATGATAGGATACTGTTTATGGTCATGATATGGTATTCTATAAATTGAACGCGTGCAGTTACATTTATAACTATTAATACAATTTAACAAAATAAACATTTTTAAAGATTTATAAAATAGAATTACTGTTGAGTGTGTAAGTCGCTATGTTGAAATTACGTCACAGGGGCAACTCGGACAACAATCTTGTCCGACATCAACGTCATGAAAAAGGCGTGTTTCCGACGGGAAGTGACGTTTTTCGTGACGTTTTCATCCGAGTTCGAACTTCAGAGAAGTCCAGACTTGGAGAGAAATAATCGAAAGCACCATAGGGTACCCCCGACATACTGAACACACTGTGATGATGACAATTTCTACATGATAGTGTAATACATAGACATTTTCGCTTATATGTTATTTTTGCAGGCTACAATACGGTTTTGATTGACCTGCTACCTGCCCGTGTGTAATGAATAACCCGCCAATACAAAACAATACATAAAAATTACACTTTTGTATAGTTCCGAATACGCTTCACATGCGTTTCATGTGAGAGGGCCTGTCCAATCAACTCTCACTATGCAAACATGTTGCTGACAAAACAGTTTCTCACGTGTTGGTGTGTTGTAGTGCTGACAGTCCAACATGGCAAGCGGAGGAGACAAGCTGCAAATAGAACCACCCCCAGCTTCATATAAGTCTGCTGTCTGGCAGCATTTTGGGTTTCCAATATGCTACAGCAGTGATGGTAAAAATTTTTTCGACAAAACAGTCACTGTATGTAAAATTTGTTTGATGCGAGTGCCGTATGCTCAAGGCAATACATCTAATATGACAAGTCACTTACGCCGTCATCACCCGGGTGTTGACAGCGCTCAAGCGCAGGTGAGACCAAAACAGCCCACGTTGCCTTCAGTGTTTCAACGGGCACTCAGTGTTAATTCAGACAGACACAGAAAAATAACGAATGCGGTGGGGTGTTTTATAGCCAAAGACATGCAGCCCTATTCCGTTGTTGACGATATGGGATTTCAACATATGATTAAGATGCTTGAGCCGCGTTACGAAATCCCTTCACGTACCCACTTCAGCAGCAAAGTTATTCCTGAACTGTACAACGAAACGCGGAGCAAAATTGAGAATGAACTTGCAAACGCACAATACATAGCTCTGACAACTGATAGTTGGACCTCCAGGGCAACTGAAAGTTACTTAACTGTAACAGTTCATTACATATTGGACTGGAAAATGGAAAGCTCCATTTTAGAAACATGCCCCCTTTTTGAAAGCCACACAAGCAGCAATTTGGCCGATGCACTGATGAGTGCATTGACAGACTGGAAGTTAGACAGACAGATCACCACCATTCCAGTCACCACAGATAATGCACAGAACATGGTGAATGCCATAAAAGAAGCGGCTGGACTAGGGCCACATAGAGGATGTTTTGCACACATTCTACACCTTGCAGCCAAGAAGGCAGTAGCACTTCAACAGATAAGCCATCTGTTGAGTAAGGTAAGAAGAGTTGTGACATTTTTCCATAAAAGCACAACAGCTGCTCATGCCCTGAAAGTCAAACAGGAAATGCTAAATCTACCTGTACACAAACTAATACATGACTCCACAACTCGATGGAATATCATTTATTATATGATGGAGAGATATCTGGAGCAACAGCCTGCCATCTACTCTGCCCTGATGGACAAGAATGTTAAGAAGAATGTCAAGGACATTGCAGTGTTGTCTGACAGTGAACTCAGACTGGCAGAGGAAATGATTAATCTGCTCAAACCCCTCAAGACAATCACTACCCTCTTGAGCACTGAAACAACTCCCTCTCTGTCAATGGTCCTTCCTCTAAAGACAATGATACTAAAATCCATGCAGCCTGTAGAAGATGACAGTCAAACCATAAAAGATGCCAAGGCAGCTACTGTATCACTCAGGACTTAGAAAGAAGATACACAGATCCTAACCTTCAGGAGTATCTCAACAGAGCATCATTCCTTGATCCAAGGTTTAAGTCTCTACCTTTCCTGAGTGCAACCTTGTGCCACAACATTTGCAGTGGAGTCATCAGAGAGATCACTGAACAGCAGGTGTTTCTTATGATGAATAAATAAATATTTTATTTTGAAAATATAGGCTATATTCTGAAAAAAATGCAGTTTAATAAAGTTCTCATTAAAAATAATAATTAAAGTAAAATAATTTTAATCATGTGTAAAATGTATTCTATTAACTTTTATTAATTGTTTAAATATTTTTGCAGGCCAATCTGTTGCAGCAGAAGCTGGGCCATCCGGAAGCCAGAATCCTCCAGAATCTCCTCCCCAGAAGAAGTTTACAATGTCAGAGCTATTTGGACAGTTTTTTACTGCACCTGACAAGACAAAGACTTTTGAGAGTATCATAGAGGAGGAGTGATGTCATACAAGGCAGAAGATTGCATTGAGACAGATGCAGATCCACTTGCGTGGTGGAAGTGTCATGAGAGCAAGTATCCACATGTTGCTAAACTTGCAAAACAATACCTTTGTGTCTGTGCAACGTCAGTGCCAAGTGAGAGAGTGTTCTCCACTGCAGGAGACATTGTTTCTGCAAACAGATCTCGACTTGCAACAAGCTGATTTTCTTGCAAAAAAACTTGAAGGTAGTGGATATCTAGATTATAAAAGTCACCCAGTATTCTGAGCTATTTTATGTTGACTTTGAAATGCAATGTATGTTGGTACAAATAGTATAATAATGGAAGTACTCTTAAGTTTAAATATTGATTTTTGCAGGTGTAAAAAAACATGCTCAGGGTTTTTGTTTTTGTAAAGAAGCCTGTTGTGATCAGTGTCAGGTGTTTGTTATCCAGTAAATAAATATATTTTTCTTTGAAATTGTCGGTAGCCATTTTTTCCCTAAACATAGCACATACCGAACCGTACCGAAACCGTGGCCTAAAAACCGTGATACATACCGAACCGTGAGTAATTTGAACCGTTTCACCCCTAATACACACACTTGGATGATCGTCTCAAATGAGTTAGCATGTTGGATGTGTTTCCAGAAATTATGTACCGAACAGTATATGATGAATATGTGTACTGTTACACCCAGGGGCGGATTAACGCACAGGCTAGATATGGCTTAAGCCTAGGGGCCCCACGTGTGCCAGCCTGCAAGGGGGCCCCCATTGGCGCGGAGGGGGGCGGGGTTGGGGGGCCCACGGACTACTGTAGCCTAGGGACCTCTGTGCGCCTTAATCCGCCCCTGGTTACACCCATAATGAATATGAAAAATGACCTTGTGCCCTTTATTTACAAAAACAGTTAAGATTGGTATTCTGGATTTCTACTCCTTTAGCAGTGAAAGGTGTAAAGTGAAAAGTGAAAGTCACATGCCAACAGCTCACTGTCAAGCTGTAAGTCAGATAAAACTGACCATCAAACTGTGTGACGTTTGTCACTACAAATACATACCAAACCTCCAGGGACATCTCTAAATACACCTTGGTAGCCTGTCAAAACAACGCAAACATGTTAACTTCAAAATAACAGCTCTAACAAAGAGACAAGCACCAAGATGCCAATACTCAGGGAATCTCAGGGATCTAATAAATAGCAGAACAGCACAGCTAAAGGAACTTCCTTCTTTTCCCATAATCCTTTGCCAACAAAAACTGTAATGTGATTTTTTTAATATTCATTAAAAATCCTTACTTCACCAGTGGGGAGGGTAATCAGTTGTGTTTGTCCCACTTTAATATTCGAGATAGTAAAAGATGCAGTTCCCAGTGTTTGATCCATAATGTAGTTGGCATCCATTAGCGTGACCTACAAATGTAACAATAAAATAACAGCTGCTGATATTGCATCACTGGGTATTTCAGCATTTACAGCATAATCAGCAGCACAGCAGCACCGAGGCTTTACCTCTAGAACATTCTCCTGACTAGGGTCCAATATGAATTCAAAAGTTTCATTCCATTCTGGATTCACGTTGTTGTCTATATGCCTTGTCCGTTTTTTGCTTGTACAGACAGCTGGTACACACAGCTCTACATAAGGATCTGGGGTGTCCACTTTGAGTACAAAGAATGATGCACAGAATGATTGATATTAAAGTAGGTTTTCAGGAAATGTAAACACAACTGGCAACCAGATGAGGATTTCTAGAGCCAACTTACTGAACAAGTATCATTGTACTTACAATAATCACCCAGTCCTTTGGTGACATTCTCAGCTCTCACAACCTTGACTGTGAGCTTAGGTAATAACTGGTCCTCCACCTGTAAAGGGCAATGTCACTTGCAGACATAGATGATGATAATATTCCATTGTCCACTACTGATAACATCATCCCAAGCCAAAAAAAAACTGTACCAGAAAATCTGAGTGGATTCTGCACTGCTGGCTTTTATTCTGTTATTATTTATGACAATAAAAGATCGGCTGGTGTAACTGTATGAGAACATTATCTGAATGAGACTAATCAATCAGTCAGATTAATATATTTAATTAATTAAATATAATTTAGTTAACTGCTGTAAAATTCTTTTGTTCTTATGTTCTTATCACGAATGCTGATGACAACAGAGAAATTTAGAGGATATGCATAATATATTTCGAATGATGTTTGCTAGAAATTATTTTGCAGATGTTTCTTGACCTTTATTCTTCATACAGAAAATAAACTCAGTAATTAACTGAATAAGTGAGACATCTCTTCATTAATTTTCCATAGGCCTTTCTCCAGTACAGGGAGCCTGCAGCCTATCACAGGTAACAAAAGACAGATAATGCCATTATGTGACATAATCACACACTAAGGGCAATTTGGAAACCCAAATTAACTCCATTCATCCATTCATGCATTTTCTGTAACTGCTTGCCGTAGGGGGTCCGGAGTCTACCTCTGAGGCTATGGGTGCAAGGCAGGGAACAGCCCAGGGTGGGGTGCCAACCCATTGTAGGGCTCACTCACACAGACACACTGTTGGCAAATTAGTCATTCTAATTAACCTCAGCATGTTTTTGGACTGTTTGCGTATGTGGGGGGGTGCACCTGGGGGAAACTCCACAATGATATGGGGAGATCCCAGAGGCATGAGGCAACAGCGCTAACCACTGAACCACCATGCCACCTCATTACAGAAGTTGTAGCAATTCAAACTTAATTTTCCATTATCGTTGTCTGTTCCGGAGTGATGCAGTATTATGTACAGACTTACATAATAAGCCATAGCAGATCTGGCAATGACAGGGGAGAGGTGTTTCTGAATGGAGATCAGCTGCTCAAAAGGTAGGTGTGTCCGATATTTACTGATTCTGGGAAGAAATATGAGGAAAAAAATATGAATTTAGCTGGAAGTCAGCTCAATAACTTAATTACATTCAGTTACATCACATAGTAATGAATGAGCACTTAATTATTTGTTCATGGCAACGCCACCCAAATACACATATCAGTTATGCCCAATGACACCTCATCTATTGTCAATTTAGTTAACTGCTGTAATTAAGACCTGGATAAGTGAAAACATTTGTCACTAAATGTGCAGGAAACCAAGATTCTGTTGTTTGAAGGCAAATCTGCAGATAGGTCTGCTGTATCTCCACACTTTACTTTGAGGGGCTGAACTTTTCTCTCAGTAGCACAGCCTGTAGCCCAGGTGCCACCTTAGACACAAGCCTCTCATTTAAATCACATGTAGATGCATGGTTGCCATGAACCCCAAATGCTAAAGCAATATTTCATTACAGCTGAAATTAACTATTTCTTAGCTACAGTATAAACAAGACTTTGCACTAATTGTGAAATGGCTTGCACTGCTAAACTAATGGGTGTAAGTCATTGTCTGTGTACTCGACATCACAATTCTCTCATTAAAACTGCCTAACTCGCTTCTGTTGAAAGATATTAAAGCTGGAAAACTGAATATTGATTATTAGACTAATTTGACCGCAGGGTATTACAAGTCAAAAAGCCAGTGAGATCTCTTTATTTCTGGTAGAACTTTGCTTTCTAAAGCTAAATTCCAATGCAATATATCCTGTAATGGCTCTTGATGTGCCATTGAATATTCATAGAAAGTTGGATGGTTATTAACTTTGTATGGAGGAACAAAACTTATTTGATCATAAAAGTGTTATGATCGAGGACTGAGCTGCTGTTGGTTTCAATTTGCAAAGTTTTTCTTCATTTAACAATTCTTTATTTATTGGGTGAAACAATTTAATATTTAGTGGGTGAAGTCCTCTTGAAGAAGCCATTATCCATCTGGAATACAGAGGAAACTGCTTATAGTGATCACGGTTATAGTGATCAACTGCTAATATGGATCAAAAAGCTTGGGACAGAATATTTCCTGCACAGATACTGTTTAAACAATTTGCTTATAGTAATCAAGTAGCTCACTTACAGTGTTCACTTTGGGTTTTTTTTTTTTTTACACATGACAACATGTACCTACTTTGATTGCCCTACTTTGCCGTGCGGTAACCCGTCTGCTTCTGGCTACCTGAGGCTAATGCTGCATGCGCAGAAAACATGACGGGAAAAATAAAGTCATTTTCTCTCAATGAAAAATATAGACTTACCAAAGCTTTTGATAAACCACCAAACACTAGCCACCGAGATGCAACAGCGAAACTACAATAAGCTGTATTTTATGTACAGTACTGGACTGCATCATACCGTATTTCAATTATACAGTACACAGTTCAGTAATTTAATTTCTACAGTACTGTAGTTTGAAAAGTGTTTTAAACAGCTGTACTGTATTTTGAAAGAGACAATAAAATTCAGTAAATAGTGAAACTGTCCATTTTATTATCTAATATTCATGTAATAAATATAGAAATGTCAATTGGATGGTAATCTGTCTGAGACATAAAGAAAAAATCAGTTATAATGATCATCCGCTTATAGCGATCAATTTCACCCAGACAGAAGTAATCACTGTAAGCGATTTCCATTGTATTTTGCCTAATTGTGTTTTCACATTATAGCGCATTTGAGAAATCCAAAAGCTATGAAGACTTGCTCATTGTGTACTACTTTCATTTTGCCTTGAAATGTGTTTCTTTTCTTTTTTTTTGTAACCCTCTTGTAAAACATGTTCTCAATGTTAATCTTCATCCTCTGAATGTGTTATAATGTTTTATAGATTGGTCAGTTACAAACAATAAAAAAGCCAGTATGTCATTTTGTTAGGTGACTGTCAGTATACTGGTTTTAGCATTAGTATATGACAAAGTGAACAGTCCTGATCAACACCATTATTTATGATTATAAAAAACCGGCTTGTGTAACTGTAGAACAACTTTACCTGAATGAGATGGCAGTACAGTCACAGTCACGCCTAGACTACAGTGATTTCGCTTAGCGATCATTTTGCTTAACGACCTGGGTTGCGTTTCCCAAAAGCAGACTTGCTAACTACATTAGCAACTTACTGTACATAGTTGGACCCATGCAACTGAATGGGTCCAACTATGTACACGTAGTAATCAGATTATTAAAAACACATGTGAACACCTTAATCGGGCTATCGCCATAATTGTTTTATTCTTAATAAACCGACTATTGAGTGCATGTGCACATAGTCATCAGGTAACAAAATAACATAGATCTCAGTACTTTGTGACTTGGGAAAATGTCCCTCCTTTCCTCTGTATTGTCCTTCTCGTTTAATTGTCCCCCTGAAACTTGCATTGTGTTGTAAGCAGATTTGCAGCATTTTGTATTTTTGCATATGTGTTTTCAAGAGTTACACTGCATCTGTCAATTGTAGCGCATCTATTAATTTGCCATCCATTTTCAGGATTTGTAAGTGTTTTCTGAATTTGCAGCTTGTTTTCAGCATTTGTAAATGTTTTATGAATTTGCAACATGTTGACACTTGCGGGCAACTGTATATAACTGACATGCTGATAAGTGATAGAAGAATGATCAGGCATTCTCATGGTGCATTTGAATGGCGCCATTTAATGCCCATTTTACTGCATTGTATTGTACATTTTATTGCCATTAATCAACAGGTAATGTATTTTGACAGCTTAAATTACCTATTGCACCTATGGCCCAATTCTCAGACATCATGAATCACAGCACGGTTTGAAATTCTAAAGTGCCTTACCATAAAATTCTACCGACATTAAGTTTTATAACACATTATATGAAATGTAACACATTACATCTACAAATAAATAGGAAGCACATTTTTATGACTTAATCTGTTATAAAGTGTTATCATTTATGTAACTGAAAATAACACACAAAAGACACAAAGCACCTACTAAAATGTAACAAAATAAGTTTGTTGCTCGCAGAGGATTAAAAGGATTAACACTGGAAATTAAATAAAATTCAAGAAAAACATACCACAGCAGAAATCCAAGCTGGAGTAATATGAATTTACAGGCGTACCTCTATGAACAAGAATCTACCTGTAATTGTGATATTGAAAGCACAATAACTGGTAGGACGACTGGATGGATGGAATAAAAAGACTTAAGATCTGCAAGTCCAGACAAGTAGGGTAATCAGACAAGCTGTAATCAATTGCTGGTCAAAACAACTTAGGAAACGAGGGTGGAATTTTAATACTGCAGAAACTGAAGAAACAGTAAGTATATAAGTCAAGTTTTTTACATCTATGGTTATGTGAAGGCATAAGAACATAAGAAATTTACAAACGAGAGGAGGCCATTCGGCCCATCAAGCTCGTTTGGGGAGAACTTAACTAATAGCTCAGAGTTGTTAAAATCTTGTCTTTATTCCCCAACCCTGACATTATTTAACCTATATACCAGGGGTGCCCTACCTCGATCTCGGTGTGTTTCCAGGTCAGTGAACCGCAATCGTTAAAGTATAGAAAGGGGGAGGGGGGCAGCCCCCCATTAGTCAGCGGCAAAATATATCAAGGGGGACAGTCCCCTCAATAGTTAGTGACAAAATATACTTGCAAAATTTAAAAAGTGTTACAATTGTACTCAGTCTACCCTACACTAGGGATGGGCAATATCACTGATTTGTTTTTGATCTGATTTTGATTTGATCCAAGGCTGCTCTGGCCAATGCTGATCTCGATATCAGAAATCAGTGATGGCCCAACCCTGACAAAAACACTTACCAATCGGGGGTCGGCTGGTGACCGATTGATGGCTCCATTTCCCAAGTGTCCGGGCTTAGTGTCTCCCCCCCTTATGGGTGGCCCTGCCCGGTAGTATTTCATGTCTTGCCCCTTATAATAATATGAACCCTTACATTACCAGGTAAAACTTAATACTTTTAAGTCAGAATTGAGACTCAAAATGAAATCATTCAGAACTAAAGAATAAATATCTCAGTATCGGTCCACACATTCCTACCTACACATTCGCTGTGTATTGGGGTTTCACAACTGCTGATTTTTATTAGTCACCAAGTTTTGCAAAATAATGATGGAATAATTATGACCCAATGATGTAAAATGTAAAGAGTTCTCTGATTTAATTTGAATATTTTGGTTATTTACAGTTAGCAACATTTAGAAATAAATTCTAAACAAGGCCTAAGTGTAAAAAAGTTCCAGCAATTATTATGATGTACTGATGTTGGCCCAGTTAAAGATTGTTAACATGTATCCGTAAGACATACTGTATGCCTGGAAGACAGCTGCAGTGTGAGGCGTCAGGCAGTTGTGGGTCTACTCATAGCCCCATAAGCTCTGGCACCAGGACGCCGGAGTTCACAAGAGGGTCACCTTTTTAATGATTATTAACATGTATCTGTAACAGGGGAGGCAGTGTGTACAGGTTAGTTTAATACGTTACTCTGTTGGTTTTTGGTATCCAAAATTTCCCCTTTTTTCCATCTGTGAGTGTGCATATATATACAAGTGTGCATTATACAACATCACTCACTTGCACACTTACCAATAACTGCATTACAGTACTTCACTGGTTTGAAATAATGACATTTAATTGTAGTATCCTGATTTTAGTTTATAATAGAGTGTTTAAGGTATTATTTCCATTAATATCGGCATGTACTTCAATCCATGAGGGTGTTGTGTTTAACCCGATACACATTATCTCTGATTCTTCTACATCTGCCAGTACCGATGTATAGTTACTAATTGAGTACATAATCATGTACAAGATTATTGATTTGAATTAAGTAAAAAGTATTTCATTCAATTTACTATGTGAAGACTTTTATATTCCAGATGTTAATAATATTACCTAATCTAAATTTGTATCTGTGTTTAGAATGACACCCACACATATATTCCACACGTACACTATATGGACATTAGTATTGGGACACTTGGCCCTTACACCTACAGGAATTTTTATGACATCCTATTCTAAATCCATAGGTGTCAAAGTGTAGTTGGACTGCCTTTGTAGCTATAACAGCTGCTACTCTTCTGTGCAAGTTTTCCACAAGATTTTAGAGAGAACCTGTGGGAATTTTTGCCCATTCGTCCCAAAGAGCATTTGTGAGGTCAGGTACTGATGTTGGATGTGAAGGCCTGGCTCACAGTCTCTGTTCTGGTTCTTCCCTAAAGTATTTGTTGGGGTTGAGGTCAGGGCTCCGTGCGGCCCAGTCCAGTTCTTCCACGCCAAACTCACCCAACCATGTCTGTATGAACCTTGCTTTGTGCATTGGGGCACAGTCATACTGGAACAGAAAAGGGCCTTTCCCAAACTGTTCCCACATTCTATGGAAGCATAGAATGTCCAACATGTTTTGATATGCTGAAACATTAAGAGTTCCCTTCACTGGAACTAAGGGCCTTAGCCCAACCCCTGATAAACAACTCCATGCCATTATCCCTCCTCCACCAATCATTACAGCTGACACAATACAGCCAGGCAGGTAACACTCTCCTTGCATCCGCCAAACCCAGACTCGTCCATCAGACTGCCAGATAGAGATTAATGTCATTGTCACCTCTTTTACACGCTGTGCACCTCAGCACTCGGTGACCCCACTCTGTTACTTTATATGGTCTGCCACTTCATGGATGAGTTCCTGATGTTCCTAAATGCTGCCACTTTGCAATAATACCACTTACAGTTGATTGAAGAATATCTAGCAGGGAAGAAATTTCATAAATTGACTTACTGCAAAGGTGGCAACCTATATGACAGTACCACGTTTGAATTCAGTGTGCTCTTCAGAACAACCCAATGTTTCACAAATATTAGTAAACCTAACTGCATGGCTAGGTACTTGATTTTACACACCTCTGGCAATGGGTCTGAATGAAACACCTGAATTCAGTGATTAAGAGGTGTTGATGCAATACTTTTGTCCACATAATGTATGTTTCCATGTTCCTGGGTTTCTGTTACTCCCGCCACAAGTAAACAACTGTAGATAGACATTAGGGTATGACTCTTTCCGACAAGTCCTGTATGTCTGACTAATTGTCTGCCGCATTTCTACGTTATCCGGACCAAATTGACTTTACTCTTAATACTCACGGATTTGCATCGGCGCACTGACATAGAAGTTCACGATGCAATTGCCCCAATTTAAATATTGTGCATGCCTACACCTACAGGCCACTGTAAATAACCGACACGTTGATAAGTGATGGAAGAATGACCAGACATCCCCATGGCGCGCTTTGAATGATGCCATTTAATGCTCTGGCCAATTCCCAGTCTCGCCCTCTCCAGGAACTGCCTGTGCTGCCAACCAAATTTTATTGCTTCTTATTGTAAATTTTATTACCATTAATCAACAGGTAGTGTATTTTGATAGTTCACATGACCTACTCAGAAAATACTACCAATATAAACCTGTAGGGAATATATTTGATTGCATCTGTGGCCAATTCTCAGACATCATGGAGCATAGCGGAGTTAGAAATTCTGAAGTACCTTACCAGAAACAACTGCCAACATTATGTTTTATAACACATTATATCAAATGTAACACATTGCTCCTAAAAATAAGAAGCACATTTTTATGACCTAATGTACTTTATTATAAAGTCTAACAATTTACATAATTGAAAATAATAACACACACAAAAGACACACAGCACCTAGCAAAATGTAACAAAATAAGTCCGATTAACATCGTGAGTGAAATAAAAGTTTAAGGAAAACATTCCATGGCAGAAATCCAAGCTGGAGTAATATGAATTTACAGGCGTGCCTCTATGAACAAGAATCTACCTGTAATTGTGATATTGAAAGCACAATAACTGGCAGAATGACTAGTTAGATGGGATAAAAAAACAACACCCGCAAGTCCAGACAAGAGGGGTACACCCTGGATGTGATCTCAAGCCAAATAATTATTTTAATTACAAATAAGTCAAAGCTGTAGTGACTTGCTGGTCAAAACAGCTTATGTAACGGAATGAAAATGATTATTGTGAACTCACCAAAATTATTAGATTTTTCTTTGTGATTATTTTTATTTCTCTGTTAAAAAAACTACATTTATAAGAAACACCTGCACTTCTGACGCAACTGCCACGTAGTTTCAGGTTAATCATTTTCTTTTAAGTGTTGGCGCGGTCTGTCCTTCAGCAGAAATAAAGATTTGATGCCAGAGGTGAGTCGCATGACGGCTGCATTGTTAAAAAAAAATCAGTCTATAAATACACACACTCACACGTTTCAACCACAGTAAATTCATTGATTATATGACAAGTTCGATTGGATGACTCATACTTGTTAAAAATAACATTTCGATGCAGAAATGCGAACTAGTTTTGGCGCCAGTTACTTTCCCCAAAAGAAAAAAATGTAATCATTTGCTGCATTTGTTACGTTGTGAATGTTCTATATATATACACTCACCTAAAGGATTATTAGGAACACCTGTTGAATTTCTCATTAATGCAATTATCTAATCACATGGCAGTTGCTTCAATGCATTTAGGGGTGTGGTCCTGGTCAAGACAATCTCCTGAACTCCAAACTGAATATCAAAATGGGAAAGAAAGATGATTTAAGCAATTTTGAGCGTGGCATGGTTGTTGGTGCCAGACGGGCCGGTCTGAGTATTTCACAATCTGCTCAGTTACT